GAGAGAGAGAGAGAGAGAGAGAGAGAGATACGACAGACACACAAACAGATTGATAGATGGAAAGACAAACGTATAGCTTGACAGACAGACACACAGACAAACAGGCAGACAGACAGACAAACAAACAGAGATCCCATTCAGTACGAGATGACTCTGAAGCCTGCCTCTGGAATGATTCAGATTGTGTCAATTGAGACGTAAATCATTCAATCTATCCCCCCCCCACCCACCTTTCCTACCCCACCCTCCTTATCCCAGCCCACCCCGTTCCCACTCGAAAAGCGGATATCAGCGAGCGTCGGTGGCTTAGAGGTAAATCTCTCAGACTCGCAACCGTAAGGTCGTGGGTTCGAATCCCATTAGGGGCCCGACATTGTGTCCTTGGGAAAGGCACTTTACACGAATTTAATTCACTTCATCCCGGTGGGAATGGGTACCCAGCTTGGGACAGTGAAAAATCTTGTCAGTTTGATAGTGTTTGAACCCTTAATCAGCTGCTTGCACAGTATGATTCCCGAGAAGCAGAGAATGTATCTGAGTGTTCTATGGTCTGCTGGGGTAATAACATAGTGTGTAAAGCGCATAGATCTTGCTGTTGAGCGGGGATATGCGCTGTACAAACGCTATTTACTATTTATTATTATTATTATTACCGAGAGTGTGTGGGATCTCCTTGATGGAGTTCTTGGAAAGGTCAAGGTTGACCAAAGCCCTCATCTTGTAAATCTCCTCGGGGATGACCTCCACACGGTTGTTGGACACGTCCAAGGTCACAAGGCCCTGGGGGTGGAAGGAGGTGGGAGGGGGCGGGGTTAAGGGATGGAGAGAGATGGAAGGGAAAGAGGTGGGAGAGTAAGGACGGTGTGGAGGGGATGGAGAGATAGTGGAAGAGACGGCTGGAGATATATATATATAAAGAGATGAAGACATTGATTAAAGGGGGTGAAGAGAGGGGAACAGAGAGAAAGAGATGGAGGGAGAAGGAGAGAGAGATGGAGGGGGGGAGTGGTGAGATAGAATAGTGGGGGAAGGGAGAGGGAGAACGAGAGAATTATAGAGAAGGAGAGAGAGAGAGAGAGAGAGAGAGAGAGAGAGAGAGAGAGAGAGAGAGAGAGAGAGAGAGAGAGAGAGAGAGAGAGAGAGAGAGAGGTACCAATATAAAACAAGTAAATTTACTAAAAGCAGTACATGTCTGACCGTACCTTTAATGCGTTACTCTGTGTTTCTTTTAACTAAACAGAAGAATAGCAACGCAACAACGCCCATATAGTTATGGGAAAGCATTCTAGAACCAATGATAGAAGCAACAAATGGATTCTATTTAAATTTAATATAGACCTAGAACTGAAGAGGGCCATTTCCAGCCGACCACGTGATCTTTAGCGAAAGGACACAATTCATTTTTCGAATATGGTGTTCAGTTAGTTCTTGTCGCCATAATTTAAATACCATGATATATTATGGCTGTTCTGATTTTGTATGACTAATGGCTGTTCTGATTTTGTATGACTATGGCTGTTCTGATTTTGTATGACTAATGGCTGTTCTGATTTTGTATGACTAATGGCTGTTTTTACACGACTTATGACTGGTATTGTATGACGTAGGATTAGCTGTACGTGACTTAAATAACTTGTTTTGTATGACTTAATATGACTGATTTTGTACGACGCTTGACTGACGAGCCCCACCTTGAGAGTGACGGCGAACTTCATGGAGTTGAGGCGGTTCCCGGACACCAGGATCTCCTCGATACACGCCAGGTTGTTGACGGACGTGGGCATGTACTCCACCTGGTTATCGGAAAGGTCAAGGACACGCAGCTTCTTCAGTCGGTCAAGGTCGTCCGGAAGCAGGGCCACCTCGTTGTGCGCGAGCTTCAGCGTGTCCAGGGCGTAGCCCAGGGCGCAGATCTCGTCAGGGAGGGCTGGGGGAGGGGGGGGGGTGCGCATGTTACGTCATTACGTTTGTTTTGTTTTAGAAAGAGTTTTACGGCATTTGCAACACTATTAGGACACATTCCCATTAGGTGGGGAAGATTAGA